AGAGATGTACATTTCTGAATATAGAAAGGCTTATCGAGGTGAGTTCATTCAAAGCAAAAACATTTCTTCCTTGAGACAGCCAAACTGGAAAGCATTCGCGCTGCTAACCCCCACCACTCATCCAAGCTTTCATCACTTAGTCAACTCTTTTGCCCTAGAAGTCTGCAGCCCAGGCCCTGTGAGTTGTAAAGTTTTGGACACTGTCGCACTAATGTGAGATGATCTGAACAGCCTGGCTCCCAGTGAGCTTCTTTTCGGCCTCTTCATCCACTTGGTGCTGCTTCTTCTGTTCATTAGGCTGGTCTCCTCTGCTCTGCTAGTTTGCTTCCTGCTGAGAGTAATTAGGTTTCTTATATAATAACAATTCCTTGTATTTAGATGCTGCCTTTCTCTAAGGACCTTAAAGTACCTCTCAGACATTAGCTCATCTGTTCCTCTAACACAATTGCCTCATGAGATAGGTGCTAATTATTCCCATTACAAAGACCAAACGACTAAGGCTCACCAGAAAGTGGTGCTTTCCCCCCACCCAGAGTAGTACAATATCACTTGAACAGCACAATATCACTTGAACAGCAGAAAGTCAAATTAAGGTCACCTGATTGCTTGATATCCTGTCTTACTTAGATCTGAGAGTCCAGGGGGGTGATGAGCCCTTTGCAGATGGGGACCCCCCCCCAATCCATGAACCTCATTAACACCAGGCCTGGCCAAGTGGTCACTCCTTCACTAAACACCAACACTTTTCTTCCACTGTGACTGATAGAGAAAACTGCCAGCAGCATTTCATTAGTGCAGAGACTGCTCAGCTGTGCAGAATAAAAAGCCTTGTCTCAGAGGTAAGTACCTGCAGAAGGTAAAAGTAGATCACTTAGCCCCCCGATGAGTAGTATTTCAGCAGAACCCACTGCCTAATCTGCTCTGCCTCATTTAGAGCATTCGAAGGGGGCACGCTGAATTGTATCTGTTTTCATTTTCAATATTCAGTCGTTTTAATCTGCACAGGACACCTTTCAAGTGGAGTTGGGTCCTGAACCTCTCCCTGACCCACCTCCAGGGCAATCCTTGTCCCACAGTGGGTGTTTGGTAGCTGAGGGAAAGGACTCTCTCTTCCCTCAGAAAAGGAAGAGGCCTAGCACAGATCAGCCTCAGAGCGCTACACTTAGTCCAAAAGCAGTTATACAGAGAGGATAGACTTCTAAATAAAAATTATAACAATTAAAAGGTGAAGCAGAGTGTGATATTCAGATGAGACTGGCTATCGAGAAAATAGAAGACCCTTCTCTGGTTGGTGCTCAGCACACTGAAGTCACATCAAAAACAGCTCTTGAATTAAAGATTTCATTACAGTTTTCTTTCATTACTCCTTTTCCTGTCTTGACATAGTACTAGAATGCATTCGTTTTTCCTTCTTTTTTTTAACCTCCTTCTAATTTTTTCTGTTTGAATTAAGATAGGTCCATTACACTAAAGCTAGTTAAGGGGGAAAAAAAGCCAAAAATGACTTGTGAACAAGTCATTTGCTGTTTATAATTAGAAATACTTTCTAAGAATGATTCATTACATTAACCGAACTTTCACTGGGCAAACCTATTCTTAAAATGATTTATATGTTCTGCGGGGCCCCGGAAATAGAAATAACAAATTGGCGTAAGATCCTCCAGTGTCTAGAGCATGACACAGGGAGAACTGTGACAGTGGGTCCCCAGATGTGCCTTTCCTCCGTGGCTTGGCGGTCAGACTTGTGGCTTTAGACTCCCTAAATTCTTCGCCTTTACAATTTGAAATGTATGTGGATGTTAATGGAATAGTATATTATCCATTGGGTATCTGTGGAACCGTTCTGCTCGTTCTGTGTTCTGCTGTCTCCTTATTACCTATTTTCATTTCTTAAAAGGTCTGTAGTGTAGCCTGTGGTCTGATTCCTGGTCGGCCCCTGTGAGTCCTTGACATGTTCTGGGGCCCCTTCAACTGGGGTATTTGCATTTTGCTGCCAGGAGGTTGTGCTATAAACAATGGGGTGGAGACACCAGCATGAGCCAGGGGATGAAATTTTATTTTAAAATCTGAAATGCTGTGTAAGCATTTAAGGTATGAATCGGTAATTGTTTCAATAACAGCTTCCATTAGATATGGTTTATTTGTAGTCCATCCTCTTTTCAAGGGTCCAGGGGAGTGTTTAACACACTGGAGCGGACTGCATATCATTTACATTTTTAAACCAGCATTAAGGGAAAGTGACCATAACTTTTGAGAGTTCTAAATCTTGGGAGAGATCTTACGCCTCCCTCCTTAGAGAAAACAGTTCTAATTTTTCATGTGAAAATAAGAAACCTTCCTTTGCTTTGATGAAGGATCTGGATGATTCTGAAACCGAGAGATACCTTTTTTAAAAAAAGGAAAGTCTGGTTCGAAGACCGAGAGCTCTCTTCTCCCCGCTAATGAATTCCGTAAAATACAAACTTTTAAAAATCGTCTGTCTCATTTGAGATTCAAGATCATCAAATTCTGTCTAAATATTTTGTTTTAACTTCTAAGCTCATTATGGCTTCTTTGTGTTAACTTGTATTAAAATCTGTCAGCTATGACTGGTCTCATAAGCACAGCCAGCGGACCAGAATAAGTTAATTATTTACTTGTGTCACTAGTGCTCTTCATCTAATGAAATGCACAGCTGTGTTAGATCTGCAGTTGGATGTGTAGCTTCCATTGTTCGGCGAGTCAGCAGAGGGTAGAAGCCCCAGTGATGGAGAGCCCTCAGTTCTTTCTGCTGTTCTGGCTTTCTGTGTCGATTTCATGGATCTTTTATCATTCACTTTCACACAAAACAAACAACACAGGGCTGTCTGCTATGGGAACCATCTTGGCATATAAAAGGGTTTTCAGAGCCTAAAGTAATTTTAAGTTAGCTAAGATTGAATTTTTGGCTTACAGGTGCCCTTGGTTCGGATGTGGCCAAAGCATTTCCTATAATGGAATGAAAAATTCCCAAAGTTACTGGTCTGTATTTTTAAATGCAGTGTCAAAAAGGGGCCCGAGAGAATTGCTTCCCAAAAAGGAAACCGGTACTACATTTTAATCAGATTTCAAGCAAAGTTATTAGAGATTCAGATTTCAGGGGAAGGAACATTGCTTTCATTTTAATAACAAAGTTGAATTGGCCTGATTAAATGTGTCAAGGAAAACTAAAAATACAAGATGCAAATCCCCTCTCTCCTTACCCTCCCCCCCATGGAAGTATTCCCTGCTCCCCCCCACCCCCAGCTTCTGTACCTCCTGCTCCTCACTCCCACCTTCTCCAGTGGAGGGGCGGACGCCAGCTTCCCCCTGTGAACCACTGCTGAAGGGTGCCGAGGTCTTCCTTTGGTTTTGTTTTTAAGGGATCTAGCCAAACCCTCCACCTCCTCACCAGCCAAAGTGACATTCTGTCCAGAGCACGTCCCAGGACCGGCCTCTGCAGGAATTGCCATTTTTAACATTTTGTTCACTGCTACACAATGTTGTTGCCGGTGCACCTAGATTTACAATTTGATCTCTTTCAGAGAAGATTTCCCAGTAGCCCGAGTGTTTGTCAGATAATTTCAGTATGGACAAGATGGATTTTGGGAGGGAAGAAAGAAAGGGTCACACACTCGGCTTGATTTAAATTCTAAGAATTGTAGTTGAATTTGAAATAAACTGAACTGAGTGATTGTTTCTGTGCTTCATGGAGGAAAGCATACTTTTTTTATAATAAACAGTACAATCTCAACCAAAAAGTCGATTAAAGTACCCATGTGCTCTTAGAATTGAACACCACAAATCTAATTACCGTATCATTGGCAGCCACTAGAAATCAGAATGTTAATAACCAATACTGAAATAAGCAAATGGCTTTCTTTTTCTTTAGACTTTAGCTCTTGGCGATTATAACACATCACAAAAATTTTATTTTAAAATAGTTTGAGTGATTATGTGGAAATCAAACTGAGGAATGAAAACTTTCTGGAAGAGCAGTTTCTTCTCAGTATGTACAGATGGTTGATAACTTTATATACAAGGGAAAAAGAATTTTATCTTAGTAGATATAAAAGGATCTTATTTCTTTGCACATTAGTTTTCCCATTTTAAATTATGTAGATTGGGGTTAACAGTCTAAATTATTCCCCTATCCCTCCTACCAAGAGAAGGAAATCAGAGGAATTAAGACAATTTAAGCAACAAAATCCCCTACAGATTGGAGTAATATGAAGGGAGTAAGGAAATATAGTTAATTTGAGAGACAGCAGTGTACATAGAGCTGGTAGGTTTTCGTTTTGTTCGGTTTCTGTTCTTAGAATTCTGCTTCTAATTCTAGTCTTTTCTTCCAAGAATAATTTGGCACTGAATTTTCTTGTTCAACTTTACAATTCCATCAAAGATCACCGTTCCGATGTGTTGTCAGCTATGGGAATTAGAATTCCTTAGGGCAGTTCAGGCTCGGCCAGGGAAGCCCCGGCCAAAGCTAGCCAGCCGGCCGCACTCTGGTCGCCTGTTAGCACCCCAGCCACACACGAAGACTTGTCACAGTTGTCTCAAACCACAGTGGAAACACACCTGTCATTCAGGTAGTTCTGATAGAGGAGTCGGAGCCCTCTGACTTGGGTACAGCAGGTAGCAGATCACAGAGGACCTGGCGAGGAGCAGAACTGCGCAGACTGGAAGCTTCGGGGACGGTGGCAGGGCCGGGGCCCAGCGAAGGCGCGGCTCTTTGGTCTCCGTGGCAGGAGAGGGTGGGCGGGCGGCCTGACGGCACCGTGGTGCAGCATGCCAGCAGGCCAGTCCACAGGCTGCGGTCCTCTCGGAAGGACCGCCGTTTTCAGATGGTTTCTCTGGCAGGATTGTTGGAAGCTGCTTTTGTTACTCTGCATAGAGACCATGGAGAAGGAGGGGGCAGGCGGCAGGGGCCAGATCCCAATTGAGTCCTGTAGTCTTCTTTTCTGCCGACATGCTCTACATGGTGTGAGGTTTCTCTCCCCCAGGTGTTTGTGGCTTGATCGTCCCTCAGGAAGACATGCCATTTTGTGATTCTGGCATCTGTCCGGACATCATAATGAACCCACACGGCTTCCCATCGCGAATGACGGTCAGTCTGCTTTTCAGAGGTGCTGCTTGTAAGGAAGAAAGTGGGCAGTGGGTCTGTAGGCCATGTTGGCTGTGATGCCCTGAAACTTATTTTTAGGAAGGGCCCTTTGACCCTCTTGCCGCACGAATAGGTTCCCAGCCCCCAACAGTGCTAGGTTACTCTTCCATACAGAGGGAGTGCAGAGGTCTGCCCTTCCCTTCGAGAGCAGTCTTCTGAGGGAGGAACGTACCCCTCAGCAAAAAGAACCCCTTGTATTGACTGATGCCCATGTACCTCCCTTCCCGTGGTTATTGTTTGGCATCCTGGCCCCACTGCTTGGCAGCTGCGAGACTTGGGAAAGCTGCTTAACCTGTGTGTGCCTGAGTTCCCTCATGTGTGCAGTGAGGGAAATAATAGTGCCTATCCCATGGGGCTTTGGGAGCACGAACTTGGATCCCACATGGCAAGCTTTTCCAAGGGCCACACAGTAAGAGAGTGATAAATATTTGCTGCTATTAGTTTATCACTCTTATTAATAGTAGTCATCTCAGTCTTTGCGGGGGGTAGGCCGTAGCTAACGAAACAGACTTCCTAGACCACAAGAAGGTGCTTACTTGGGTTGTTCCATCCCATAGGTGGGGAAGCTGATTGAGCTGCTGGCCGGCAAGGCTGGCGTGTTGGACGGCAGGTTCCACTATGGCACTGCGTTTGGAGGCAGCAAAGTGAAGGATGTGTGTGAAGACCTCGTTCGCCATGGTTATAACTACTTGGGGAAAGACTATGTTACATCTGGCATCACAGGGTAAGTACATTGGTAGACATTTTAAAGAAAAAGTATGATTTTATTAGAGTAAGAGGAAAGAGTCCTTAAGGCATACCTTAAGATGAGCTTTTCTCTTGTAAGAGGTCGGACAAAAGAAAATCTAACTTTGGAGGTGTTAGCTGATGATACAGTGGTAACCATGTTGGAATACATAAGTGTATCAGATCAACACATCACACACTTTAAACTTGCTCAGTTATATCTCAATGAAACTGGGAGGGAAAGGAAATCCAAATTCACAAAACTGGTAAATTAAGGAGTGGTGTTTTACCGATGAGGCTGTCATTTAAAAAAGGTAATTTACCAAAATAGGATTTTTATACAACTTTAATTGTATATAATGCAAAATTCCATAACCATTGAACTTTCTCCGTGTTAAGAGGGTGAATGTCAGATAATTCATGCTCTGACAGCCTGAGGCCGGACGTTTGCGTTTCGTTCACTAAGTATATAACGGCAAACAAAATAGACAGGGTCCCTGAGCTGTGCAGCTGACCAGTGAAATTTGTGACTAGACTTATTAAAAAAATGAGACAAAAAGTAACTTCTCAGCAGGGCTTACCCTGACTCCTTAATTTGGAAATTGCAACTCCATATTGCCCATTCCTACCTAATTTTTCTCTGTAGCATTCATCCTTACCAAATACCCTATGTAATAATACTAATAGTGTTACCTGTCTCCTCCATGAGAGCCTGGCTTGTCTGTTTTGCTGGCTGTTTTATTTCCAATGTCTGCACACAGCAGGTGCTCCATAAATATTTATTCAATAAAGGAACGAGAACAAATCAGCACGAACAGCTCTCACCGAAATGAAGGCAAAGAATGGGTTAGGACACCTCTGTGAGGTGGTAGGTGTTTCAGCGGAGATGGGAAGGGTAAGAAGAGAGACCATTTGAAGACTGTTTGATGCAGAGGTGAGGCTGGGTTTGACACCTTCCAACAGACAGACCTCAGTTCACCTGAGGTGAGGCTGCAGAAAGAAAGAACGTTCTCGCAGGCAGAGCGCTGGCTCCTCCTGTTAACCCGGGAGAAGCAGAGATCCCTGAAATTCTCGTAAATGACAGGCTTTTGAAACTTGACTCACACACAGTTTTAAAGGATCAAATCAGTTGCTTAAGTTAAGACACACATTGTATTTTGTGCCAGATAAAACTCTGGGACATGGTGTTTCTACTGTTTTTCTGAGGCAGGTACTCAGCGTGGACGTGTGTGTAAGGACCCAGGGCTTGATTTGGTGCTGCACATAGACTATCCTGATGGGATTAAAATGATCAGAATTGGTATCTTTTAAAAATATTGAGTGCTTTCTAAAATGATCTATCCAGGGCGCCTGGGTGGCTCAGTCGTTAAGCGTCTGCCTTCAGCTCAGGTCATGATCCTGGGGTCCTGGGATCGAGTCCCGCATCGGGCTCCCTGCTCAGCGGGGGGTCTGCTTCTCCCTCTGACCCTCTTCCCTCTCTTGCTATCTGTCTCTCATTCTCTCTCTCTCAAATAAATAAAAACTTAAAAAAAAAAAAAAAAAAAGAAATTCCCATTTGAGCCCCTGTTTCTTGGCTCGTCCCATGTCATCCCCACTCCCTACCCCCCGCCACAGTGGAATAATCTGTTCATTCGATTGCTGAGAAAGGATGCACAAGAAGTAAATTTTGTTGAGATTGTGTATATCTGAACATGTTCTATCCTCATACTTGATTTGTACTCTGGTTGGTTATAGAATTCTAGATTGAAAAATTCTTTTCTCTAAGGATTCTGATGACATCGCTGCATTATCATCTAGATTCCATGTTACATTATTCTTGATCTGTGTGTATGTACACACATGCACCCTGTTTCACTCTCTTTCCTTTCCTTCCTCCCTCACTTGCCTCCCCTTCCCCGCAAAGCTTTTACTATCCTTCGTCTGTTCTTGGAATTCTGAAATTTTCATTCCTTGTCCTAGGAAATCAGGTACCTTCTTTTCTGGAAGTTCAAGGTCCTTCCATTTTCGGACATTCTCTTCTATTATTTTGTTGCCAATCTCCATCATGTTCCTTGTACCCTCATTGTCCATTTCCTTATCTTGATTTTCTTTGTAGGAGATTTGATTTTTATTTTCCAGATTTTTTAACCTATTT